CGTGCGCCCCACCCCGCCGAGGGCTCTGCTCTCTGCCCCCGCAGGAACGCGAGCTGCTATTTCGACATTGAGTGGTGCGACAAGCGCATCACCCTGAAGGCTGCGAATGGCAAGTATGTGACGGCGAAGAAGAACGGGCAGCTAGCGGCCTCCATGGAGACGGCGGGGAAGGGACCAAAAAAAGGGCAGCAGGGGACAAAGCCATCCTCCACCCCAAGCCAGGCTCCTCTTCCAAGTGATGCTCAGAGATGCAGGCAATACGTCGTCTTAATGACCGTGTCACGTGCTGTGAGAAGGGGGGGACAGATGGGGTGGGTGAGAAGTGGGTGGGGGGGACAGCACACCCTCCTCACTGCTGCCTGCCAGCTGCAGGGTCCGGGCTCTGCGCCCCCCCCGGCCGCTCTCACCGGCTCTCTCCCCTCCGCCGCAGGCGAGACGGAGCATTTTGTGATGAAGCTGATCAACAGGCCCATCATTGTCCTCCGCGGTGAGCACGGCTTCATTGGGTGCCGGAAGGTGACCGGAACCCTGGACTCCAACCGCTCCTCCTATGACGTCTTCCAGCTGGAGTTCAATGACGGGGCCTACAACATCAAGGGTGAGTGCTGGGGGTGGGTATGGGCTGGGGGGGTGATGGCCATCGGGGTCCCCGTGGTGGCTCATGGGGCCACCTCGTCCCCTCTTCCCTCTGCCCACAGATGCCACTGGGAAGTACTGGATGGTGGGGAGTGAGTCATCCGTCACCAGCAGCAGCGACACCCCCGTGGACTTCTTTTTTGAGTTCTGCGACTATAACAAAGTGGCTATCAAAATCAATGGCAAATACCTGAAGGGTGACCATGCCGGGGTCCTCAAGGCATCCGCCGACGCCATTGATGCCTCCACCCTCTGGGAATATTAATGCACTTTAGCGTACCTCCCATTGCCAACTTTTCTTTCCCTTCCTTCGTCCTTTTTTTCTTCTGGGTTTTGTTTCTCCTCTCTGTTAAAAAGGATTTTCAGATCGGCTTGCCCTTCCCTCCTGCCGTAGAGTCGGTGCGTTATGTGGGAGGTGGGTCTCCATAAATCTCTGTAAGAACTGGAAAAGTGATGGGGCAGCCTGCCTATAGCTTTGTAGAGGGGTCTGTCTCTCCCCGCCGCCCCCCCCCAGGTTTGCTGGGCTTGGAAACTGCCGTACCCCCTTCCCGGCCTGAGCATCACCTTAGGTAGTTTATTTTACCCTCCTCAATTGAAAAAAGGGAATAAGATCACCTCTGTGCTCGCTTCTGCCATATCAGCGCTGGCACTGCCTCGGTCTGTGCTGCCAGTGTCCCCCGAGCACCCATCCCATCCTGCCCCGCTCCTACCAGGGACAGAGCGATGGTGCTGGGCTCAGCTGGCTGCTCCCGGCTCCCCTCCCGGCAGCTTCTCTCTGCTCCTGGCTTTCGGGGCAGGATT